CATTCGGAGGCTTCAGTCTGAACGATGATTGTCACTTTAAACCTGGAAGGGTTGACAACGACCTATTTACAGACTCAGCATGGTGGAAGACGGTTCAACAGGTCAATACCTCCACATGAAGAGTTCGTGAGCTTGAGAATTCTTTTTTTTATTATTTGACCGCAACTGAATGGCATAGTTTCACGCATTTCCTAAGTTGCCTTAAAGAGGAGCCACCAAAGCCGAACTCAATCACGAGAGACGACCACTCTGACATAAATTAAAGTGGTGGAAATAGATTTGTTGCAACTCCTAATGGAAGAGTTGAAATTGATGCTAAAATGCAGTCAACGACTTTATTTCCCCATTCGATATAGCGTTGAAGGAGTTGGATGAGATCGATGCAGATCCGTGGACCAAAAGAACGCATCGCGCTCTCTCCAATTTACCACTAGCAAAATGGAATCCTGATAAAAACCATCATGAGTTGCGACGGCCATTTCCCCATCTTTTATTACAGTTTCCAACGCAGATTATAAAAAGTTAACTAACAAAAAACTGCCATGAAGGATCAATGAATTTACGGAGAAGCGTCTTTCTGGTTATACGGCGACTCGACGTAGATGGAGCGCTTGTGAAGGTAACCAGGAGGAGCATCAAGGGAGATGGCGAACGAACACCTAAGACTTACCTTCATGCATTCCCTGAGCACTGTGACCTCCCAACCTTCCACCGTATTCTTCTGTACGATGTCAGCACACGTTTATATCCAGACACACCCCAAACATTCCACTGTAGAGTGAAAAAAATAACAACGCAAGTGAATTCAACAGCCTCGAGTTTAAGACCGACCTTGAGCAAGCCAATGAAAACCACCAAGTCCCCAGAGCTGATGGCACCGTCAAGAGTCCATTGAAGAAGGCTTCAAAGCCATCACCCATTTTGCTGACAACTGCAAAAATCTTGGGTCTCTCCAAAAAAAGGACAACTCAAATTTTCCGTGTCACAACCAATTCACTGGAACGGAATTCACACCAATTGCACCAAAGTGACAGAACATGTCTAGTAAAAAATTACTAGCTAAGCCCTCCAAAGACGAATAACATGACTCAGAGCATCCCAACATTTTTCCCCTTCAAAAGTCTTAGAGTTCCACACGGAGATCACTTTTCCAGAGCTGATCAAAACGGTGAGAAAGTGATCATGTTTTGGATGAGAAATCACCTCTTGCGGAAATTAAAGAAGCAATGCCAAGCCATAACCATCACCTTGTTTCGACAGCGAAGAGTGTGCTAGCAACTCTTGAGAGACCAAATTTTGGTCATTGAAGTGTAAGGAGGCAGAAAAGTCCATTTCACCGATTACCTCATAAATGCCATGGCAAAGCAGATATTTATTGCAGAAAATTCGGTTCAAATTTTATTTCACAGGTCAAAAGTTTACGAACTGGACTTTCCAATCAAGCGGAAGCCAACTATTTGCTTCCACGATGTCACATTGCCATCATCACGCCCACAAACCGCAAACACCCAAATAAGGGTCGCTGTTCACATACAAAGTGTAAGACACTGGGTCACACATTTGCCATTTTCGCTAAAAGTAAGTGGAGAAAAGAAAAACATCTCCAAATCCTGAAAATATGTATGTACCAATAAAAAATCGTACGTTAGCATTGAACTAATCTCTCATGTGCAAATTTATAAGATGAAGTAAAGCTAGAAAAAAGGAGTCATGGAGGCGGTGTCGAACAACCAACATCGTGGAAAGCCAGATCGAAGTAGACTGGGCAGTGATCACTAGGGCATCCAGATCCGTCGGAGAAATTGGGAAGAGGAATGAGGGGATGACGAGGCGGGATTGCAACAGCACAGACACCCGTAAATTTAAGACCCTCGGAGGCTTCCTCTCCCTCCGGTAACAGGAGGTTGGGAGAGAGCCATGCATTGTCCAGACATGGCATTCGTGAATCGCCTTGCTTTTGTCCGATGCCTGCTCCTCGCTCTATTGCACTCGTCATTGTCGCACAGGCTGTTGGCAGTGCGCAGACCAGTCCACGAGAACGCAAAGCATCGAAGGCTAGGCAAGAGAATGAATCACACCACAATAGCATATCGAAGGTCAAAAAGGCATACGAAGGCACGCTTGGGTGTACGAGTACCAATTTCAGCTCAGAGGCTGCTGCAGCGTTCAGGTGCGTGCCTAGTGGTTGGAGTGATGGAGTCCCAGGGCAGTTATCACTTTGACTTTGAATGACTTTAGCATAGGTAGCTTTGTTTTCAAGTCCTATTTCCGATGGGACAACGTTTATGTGCTAGAATGTCTTGAAACTAATAATTACGAATTGGTGAAATATTCTTCTGCAGCGACAAATTCCCTGGCAGAAAGTGCAAGAGAATAAAAAAGCGTTTTGACTTGCCAATCATAATACCAAAAAAGAGAGATCCCCTTTTCACTGCCCCCCCCCACCCTTTGCTCAGGTAAACAGATTTTCTGTGACCCTGTGGTGACCTCGCAACATTCTCATGATCCTCAGTTAGTAGACGGTAGACAAGAGAATGAGATGCAAGCGAATGAAGTTAAGGCAGCCAGCAGGAAGTGGATTACGTGTTTAAATAATTACTCACACCTACATCAAATAATGAATGGTAACGATGAAAATGAGGCAGCTTATGAACAGTGATGCGGAGCAAAGTGACAGTTTGACTTAACCCAACGAAAACTCACGCATACTTCCTTTATTAAAAAAAAAGTTGTGCCAAAGCAAAACGTCTGAACTAGTAATGTGGAGAGGAATCAAGC